CATCAACACATGCGCAGACACTAACACACACACACACACAATAAAACATGCACTCAGACATTAACACGTACACACACGTACACACACGCACACACACACACACACAAACACACACAATACCTCATGCACACACACACACACACACACACACACACAATACCTCATGCGCACACACATACACATATGCGCACACACACACACACACACACACACAATACCTCATGCGCACACACACACACACACTTAGCCATTAGGAGAAAGGTATTGTTGAGCTGTACAGACCCTGCTGCAGCTGCTCTTCACAGTCTTCAGCTCATCTCTGATCTGATCTGTGACCAGTTAAATGCCAATTAACCTGCTGATGTAAACATTTAGCACTAACGCTGAGCTCTGATTGGCTGTGCAGCGTTATCCAGGTCAGGTGACTCTGAAGTCGACACGTCTGCGTCTGGCGTTCTCCAGGAAGAAGGCGCTGCGGGCGGAGCAGATGCAGACTCAGACGCAGCCACAGACGCAGGCTGCTAGTGTGCAGACGGACGACGCTCCGGCTCCTCTTGAACCCCCGTCTGCGGTGCCGGAGCTGTGCAGACCCGACAGCTTCCTGTCCCTCCCCCCGATGGGTGGAGCTGTCGCAGAGGCCCCTCCCTCAGCAGAACACTCATCACTTCCTCCAGCCCGAGAGCTGCTGCTGCTGGACTCCTCCACGTCCCCCATGTCTCCGCCCCCGCCGCCGCCTCCTCCGCCCCCGCCGCCGCCCCCTATGCTGGAGGACTTTCCCCCTAGGAGCCCGCCGGAGCCCCAGAGTCCCCTCGGGCCCTTCAGCGCACGCTTCTTCGACAGCAGCCAACTGCTGAACGCACGCAAGAAACTGAGGAAGACGGCATCACTGGAGTCCAGCCAGTGGAGGAGAGGTGAGAACACACACACACACACACACACACACACACACACACACACACACACACACACACACACACACACACACACACTAGATGTACACTGCAGTCATGGTTCAGTCCAACAGGTATAAAAACAAAAGTCCAGTGCTCATTTGAACAGGCAGAAGGGTTCTGTCACAGTCAACTACACAACTGAACATCCACAACAATCTCTAACAATATCAATAAGAATCTGGTATACGAGGTAAAACACACAATTTTAAATACAGAAATATACGTTATAACCTATAAGCTACAACCGTGACCTCCGACCCCTCAGAGTCCTCATTCATCTATTAGCCAGATCAGCACATGAGCTCAGGACTCAATCTTCTCAAGCACCACAACACAGAGTCACATCCACAAACGCCAGTCTAAACTACACCATGCCAAAAGGAAGCCCTATGTTAACAGTGTCCAGAAGCACTGTCCACTTCTCTGGGCTCGGAGGCGTCTGGGATGGAGCATCGCACAGTGGAAACATGTACTAGGGTTGGGCAATGTCGACTAATTTGGCAACGTATGATGTCTAATGTGAAACATTACGATGGACGACGGCATCGTCGTCATAGGCGGAGGTGAATTATTTATTTATGAATAATTAATTAATTCATAACGAATTAATTATTTGTAGCATACCGTTTCAACTACCTGACCTGCATGCTCTTTGTTTTACCCATAAACACATCATAAACAAATAAAGATAAGTTGCGCACAAATCACCACCTGTCGATCACTCTTGCTGCAGGAGGTTGGTCGGTAAAAAAGATGCACAACCAACAGTGTCTGAGGTTTCACTAAAATTACTAAGTGTGAAAGTGAAAGACTGAAGCAGTGTACTGACGCTGCGACACGCTACCTTCACAAGAGCGAAGAGTTGTTAGATAGAGACAAGATTAACTAAATATCACTATATCTCGTCTCACTATATCTCTGTTACATCAGCTACATTAACGTCAACTCCGATACCATCAAATCTGATAACGTCAACTCCGAGGAAGCCCTATGTTAACAGTGTCCAGAAGCGCTGTCCACTTCTCTGGGCTGTGGGGGCATCTGGGATGGAGGATCAGACAGTGGAGACGTGTTCTGTGCTCGGATGAAGCAGTGTTTCAGGTGTTTCTAGGAGAAATGGACGCCGTGTGCTCCAGACCAAAGAAGAAGAGGATCATCCAGACTGACACCAGCAACAAGTCCAGAAGCCCGGCTCTGTCATGGTCTGGGGTTGTGTCTGTGCCCTTGGCAAAAATAACTACAGAGAGATTCTGGAGCTCAATATGCTGCCTTCATCTCCAGGGACACCCATACATATGTCAAGAGGACAATGCAGAACCCCATTCAGCTCACATTACAGAGTCCTGCTGCGGAGGAAGAGGAGACAGACGCTGTACTGGCCTGCCCGCAGTCCCGACCTGTCTCCAGTAGAGAATGTGTGGCGCATTATGAAGTACTGTTGCCCACCTTAAGACTTGTTTGCCGGAAGAATGGGACAGAATGACCCCTGAAACACTTCATCACTTGGTGTCTTCAGTCCCTGCACGTCTTTAAGTGTTCTGAAGAGGAACGGCAGCATTACAGAGGGGTGAACGCTTTACTGGTACCGCTGTTTCTGAAATGTGTTGCAAGAACCAAAGTTTGAGTGAGTTTATTTAGAAAAAACAGTGTTTGGATGAAGGCATTTACTGACGGTGATCAGTTCCCAGATGGGTCTGTGTTATTAAGCAGAGGTTATCTGGGAATAACGGACCTTGGAATGTCACGACTGACCAATCAGAATCCAGCATTCCACACAGCCACATAATAATCTGTTATAGTGACCGCCGACATGTGCTTTAAAATAAAGCAGCGATCAAGCTGATTGATGAATGATGATGATGTTTATTTGTGTGTGTGTGTGTGTGTGTGTGTGTGTGTGCGCGCACAGCGAGCTCCCCCATGGACGAGGTTCTGGCCAGTCTGAAGCGGGGCAGTTTCCACCTGCGTAAGGCTGAGCTG